ACAAAGATATGTGCAATTGAGAGGCTAAGGATTTGTTCTTTTTTTTTCTTTTTGTCAAAATTTAGACATTCATCGTGTTGTGACACAGATGAGAAGAAAAAAATAATTATTTTATATTTAAATATTTAATTTATTAATTGATATATAATTTTTTATTTAAAGAGTATGATTGAAATTTCTCTTCTCTCAATTAAAACAATTACTTTCTCAAGCAGTGTTCTATCATTATCATTATGGTTCAAGAAACCTATCAATCATTTCCAAGTTTATTCGAGAGAAAAATCTATTTTCTGTTGCACTATTTTTTTTTTGTTTCCTTATTACACACATAAGCCATTTTTGTCAATAAGATATAAGAGAAAGAAAAAGGTTATAAACGTGTTTCCTTCATAGATTTAACATTTTGACTAAATTTTTCCCAAAGACAGTTTATGTTTGTTTTTCTTTCTGTTCCAACTTTTCACAACTCACAATTGTTAGTATACACCCTAATATATAGAAATTCAATTATAAAAGAAAAAAATTAAAGGAAATAATATTTGAGAGTGAAATTAGGGAAAAAAAAAGAGAGAGATTGTATCAACTAATGCTTAATAAGCTTTAAGATCTCTATCAATTATTGATTCCCAAATTAATTGGAGAACATATGTATACGCTTGCGCCTATATTTTCCTTGTTTCCTAACGATACACATTAATCATTTTGTGTCAAAAAGAGAAATCTACAAGTTATAGACATACTTGCTTGACTAGGCTTCCTTCACCAACGTACACCCTAGATTTTTTTATCTCTTGGACTAAATTTCCAAAACCAGATTTATATTTCTTTTTTGGTCTATGTTCCTACTTTTCACAACTAGCAACAAACAAGCATATCATTAATGTACATATTACTGAATTTAATTTTAAATTTATAAATAAAAATCGTTTTTCATATCAAAGACACGTGTTTTTTTATTAAAAATATAGACTGTAATGCATATTTATCAACAGGCGTTTAAGAGAAATGATATAGAAAATGCAAATATAGTAATATTTTTTGAATAAAATTGGATGGTGTAATGTTCAATATAACAAATTAAGCAACAAATACCATATTCAATAAAAAATGTGTAATTCAATATTAATATTATTGAGAGATTATCACCGATACTCCGACCAAAATTCATCACCCATCAAACTTAAATTATGTCAGTCATCCAAACCAAACCAAAAGATAATATAAGAAAAGAAAAAGAAGAAATCTTGATTGCCTGCTTGCCTTGTTGGCTTGGTCCCAGCTCCTATCACATATCAAGGCCAGAAAATCAGCATCCTTAATCAGACGGTCAGGATTGTCCCATCAAACAGAGTCCATGATTAGACCGGTCACTTTAGTGCGCCTTATCTAATTTCCGATTAATTTTATTTGGTTTGTCATTGGACAAACTATCATTACCACCACTGACCAAATCCTCTCTCTCTCTCATATCAAAAAAGCTCAACTGTTGTTGACATGACGTTTACTTCACGAGCTGTTTCCTTGTTTAAACACTGTACCCTTCATCATCACCGTTGATAGTGGTATCAACAGTAGCTGATCTTTAATCTGAGGCTTGATGGGATCTTTCTGTTGAAGATTGTGCACAGATCGTGAAATATATTGGTAATGTACGGTCATATCGTGCGTTTGATAATGGTGGGAGCATTTAATAGTGTACTGCCTGATTGCATCAAATAAAATAAAAGCCAAAATTCCAGATTCCCCCGTCACGGGCCTCCCTGGGCAGTAACCTTCTCACTTCTGTTTCTGTAACAATTGTGTGGACTCTTATAACTTGACTGTAAATAATTAACTTACCAAAACATCCTTTTTGTATGGTAAATGATCAACACCAGTAAAGGTTGTGTGTCTGACCTATGAGCATAGCATTCTACAATCCTGTAAGATTTGAGTTATTGATTTTTTTTTTCAAATCGAATTAAATCTAGGATGAATCAAATGATTTTTCGAATTAAGATCAGTTTTGTAAATTCTATAATTAAAAAAAAAAAACTGAGAGCTTTCGATACTCGGTTAACGCGTTCTGTCTTCAAGTACGTTTTGAGTTTCGCAACACTAATTTCTGATAAAAAAGTTTTATTAAAAAAAACTTATATTATGGGGCTGTACGTAATAATACCGCCGACTGGCAAAGAGGATGAGCCGTTAAATGTCGAACATGTTGGGTGGTCGGAGGCCAAAAGCATCACGAGCCCCTCACCCTATGGTTGCAAGAGTGGAGGGACAGTGACTCAGTGGCCCCCAAGATATGATACTTTATTCATCTGACACGTGTCACTCCAACATAACGTTAGTCCCCCCCACAACCTTTTTTAAAACCCCTTTAAATTCCACGTTTGGTTTCGTTTCCCAGTGCCCAAGCCCAGACCAGCAGCCGACCAGGGTTCAACCCACCCCTACTCACATGTTCGAGGTTTAGCCGAACCACGTGCTTTGGTTGGTTTAACCCCTGTAGCAGTATGCCAGGGTTAAGGTTGTCTCCTTATAGTAAAAGATAAAGTCGCCGAGTTATATTCTTTGGTGACAATAATCATTAGTCTTTTTATTAATGACCACATTACCCTTTTCCAAATATTGATTTTAATTTTTTGATGCTCTATGTTAACTTCAAATAATAGAAGAAAATTGCATTTTGAAATTATTTTAATTAATTAATTAATTTACAAGCTCTTCAAGTTCATGTTTATAAAAAATAATTACATGTTTTATAATTTTTGTTAAGAAATATAATTTTAATTTTTAAATTAGAGGAGATTGAAGAATATTATCAAAAACTCATTTTGTCTTACTTATGGACCAAAGATATAAATTTTCACACCGACCACTTGCAAGTATTCAAAATTGCGGCTTATGAGAAAAATAATGAAAGATTTGTTTTTACATAATAATAGAGAAAGAATTTTTATCTCGAAAATAGTATATTTAAGTGAATTTTTTTTTGTTTGATTACGATATTTACATTACACGTCATTTTCACTTATATACTTTTTATTATTATTTATTATCCAAGACTTCACAGACATAAAGCAAAAAAAAAAAAAATCAATGTTTAACACTTTAACAAAGTTCTTCACTCTTTGTAAATTCTTGATTTATCATTATTGTTTTTTTTCTTGAAAGCAATACATGTTCAATGATTTATTGATTTTTAGTTCCAATTTCAGATTTTCTACTTATGACTTGTGAAAAGACATGATATCCATTAAAATAGAATTTGAAGTCCATAAAAGGGAAAAAAATGGACAATAAAAAAAATACATTAAAGACAAAATCATTTCTCCTATTGAATTGCAAAATAGTCAATCTAGGTATCCCCATGATTGATTTAAGAAGTATTTTATAAGTTCTTCTAATATTTACAAATATTATAATTGCTTGTGCAAAGAAGAAAGTTTGCAATTTCTTTCTCTTCAATTATTTTACTTGAATATATTAATAAAAAATGTTCTAAATTTTACAAGCAAGGACATTAAATAAATGAATACAACATAAAAGGAAGAAGCATGGATAATCAAAAAATACATTTATAAAACAAATAAATCACATCTATAAAGATGGCCAATCCAAATATACCCAATGATTGATTTATCGAGTATTTTATAAGTTGTTATGCTATCTGATAAATAGTTTAATTACTTGTGCAAAATAAGAAAAAGGTAGTATTTTCTTTCTTTCATTTTCTTAAGTTTACTTTATTTTTTGAAAAAAAATTAATACTAATGCTAAAAAATGTCGTCTTTAAATATAACACGCAAGGACATTATAGTCATGCAGTAAAAGTTTGGTTGGTTTGGTTGGTTTGGTGAGCCGCTAAGAACGCTTAGCACTTGGCGATGAGGGCGAGTTTTTTGGTCACGATTATTTAAGAAATGGTTAACCATTGTACGGACAGGCATTTTGTTTGGGGGAAAAATGAAAATCCCATATGCAAAAAGCAACAAAAGAGTGCCTCCTTTAAGCCTGGCTATGATCAGAGTTTTAGCTCAAGCATTGTGTCAGATTCTGTTTGTGTCCCAACACAAATCTCAAGATCGCAAAGAGTAATATTAAGCACGAATCAAACGGTTCTTATCTTATTGGTCAATATTTTTATGTAATCTTTGCCGTTTCTTTCTTAAAACCCCATATGGGGATGTGTGGACGGCAGTAAGAGAAACAGAGGGGGGAGAGAGACCAGACAAGATCATGGGATCTGCATGTTTTTATTGCACCCAGCCCCCTGCAAATATATGGATCATGCAAAATCCTCTGTTTTCCTCTTTCTTTCTTTTTCCTCTTGTAAAAAAAAAACAGAAAAGAAAGAAAGAAATAAATAAAATTACTATAAGAGCTAGCAACAAATCACATCCCATCCATCATTTTCTTGACCTCCTCAAAAGCAACTCCTGTTTTGAATTAAGCCTAAAGTCTATCTTTTAACCAATTCAACTTAATTAACATGCAATTAACTAATAAGGGTCTTCATTAAATTAACTCTCCCTAGTACTAGTAGTAACCTTTCTAAGGAAAAAGTGCACATGATTTGTCTTTGTTAGCTAACTAAAACTTTGATTGTAAGGTCCCCTAGTCCTCTAATAAAAGCATAAAGTAAATACATCATTTTCTTGAGTTTGTAACTAAATGAGCTTTAAAGTAAGAAAATGAACTTAATATAACACAAGTGGCTTTCATTTTAAGCGTATGTATGGGTGTTATTTTGTTGGTTTCTTTAGCTTTTACTAGTAGCATTTTCTCCCTAGGACAAGACTCTAATAAAGGCCGGATGTTTGGGGCATTGTGCTAATGACTAATGAGGCTAAAGGTTGTTTGTGGGTGCAGCAGTGTAAACTTGTAGAGATAAGAGAGAGGAAAGGAAAGAGCTTACAGGAGTATCTTTAGGAGGTCAGCAACAGCACGCTTTGCTTCCTGAGCTGAACAACCTAACGTTATTTAGGGAGCTCTGGTTGCGTGAGTTATGTTCTAATTCATGTTTCCTGTTTTTGGGGTCTTGAGTAAAAGGGAATCTCTCCTGGTTTTATCAGCTCTATTCTCTTTTTATGCTCCCCTCTTTGTTCTCCACATCTAAAAAATCGCCTTCCTATCAAGTCCTAGACAAGAGATAGAAAGAGAAAGGGAAAGCAAGAAGAACCCACTAAGCGTGCAAAAAACCAAAGGAAAAGCTAGATAAGAACCCACCCTCTTATCATAGCTCTCTCTATACTTTTGCCCTTTGAGTTGTTAAAAACACTTTGTTCTTTTCGGGGTTTCCCTTCTCTTGGTGGGGTTTCTATTTTAAAGAAGTGTTTTTTATATTGCGTTTTTTGGTGAGGCTTTTTCAGTTTAAAGGAGTTGGTTTTAGGGAATTTAATGGTTAAGACTCTCTAAAGCTGGACAACCTCTTTGCGTTGGTAGCTAACATCTTGAGAGTTGTATGACTTCTTCCTTACAGGGTTTTTCATAGCCAGAAAGTTTGCTGATTTCTAGATGTGGGTCTTCATTGTTTTGAGCTCTGGTTGAGTGATTCCTTTCAAGGTATGTGGCAAGTTTCTATCTTTGGATTTAGTCATACATGTTTATCCATTTGCATGGTTTTATTTTATGTCTTTTTCATTTGTTCTCTAGTTTGTTTTTCTGATACTTAAAAGCTTCTAAGCCGTAACACTTTATTTTTTCAGTTTGTTGCTAGTTCTTGGTCTTCAAATTTACAGAGAAAAAGGTGATCTTTTTGGGTTAGCAGCATATCTATTCCATCCGGTTAAGGAGATGGAGAGCGGTTGCTTGAAGAATGGTGAAGCATGTCCTCAACTTCTTGATTTGATTCCTCAACAAAGACAGTGGCATATGAAGAGAGAAGATGAGAGAAGGCGTGGATCCTCAGAGGAGAAGAAGCTGGAACTGAGGCTTGGACCCCCAGGTGAAGATAACTGGTCCATCAAAATAGACGCCACCAAAAGCAACAACAAAGAAAGAGATGAGTCTTTGCTCTCACTTGGGTACTTCTCTTCAATGAACAGCAATGCAAAACAGACGCATACATTTCCAACTCCAGAGGACCACCCGGTTGGGTCAGTTTTATCCTCTCCATGGGCAAATACCCACCAGCATAACCATCAACCGCAGACAAAGCCTCCTTCATTTCTTCAGTTCCCATCAACAGCCCCACAGACCTTGCCTGTTATAGCAAAGGAATCGTCACAGCCCTGTTGCACTAAAGCAGTAGATTTGCATAATGCAGAGAGAACAGCATTTTCACCGCCTCCTGCCAATACATCTGTGCTTCTCAACAGTTCTCAGAAAAGGTACTCCAAGCTTTTACCTCCCCCCCCCCCCCCACACCCAATTCTGTCTCTCTCTCTCTCTCTCTCTCTCTCTCTCTAATAATTTTTACTTTTTAAATTTTTTTGACGGTGGATATTCACTCTCAAGTCCCAAGTTTACCTTACTTAATGTCGTGCGGTCCTTGCATGCTTGTTAGTTGTTTCATTTCTGTGTTTCTCGTGTTATCTGGCTCGCAATTTATCTTTCATATTTACTCGTATGCTTTGAAGTTCTGGGCAAAATTTACTCTTCTCCTGCCGATTTTTAAAAATTTGTTTTTTATTTCTTCGTGATTTACTGATTTGTTAATTCATGAAGAGCTCTTGGCCTGCTCTGGTAGTAAATGCTTAATCCTATTCTTTCCTTGTAGGTGTAAGATTTACTAATTTTATCTGTTCCCATGCTGTATTGTGTTGATCCTATCCCTTATGTTTTTCTATTAGTACTATTTAGCATGGCTTTCCTTTTTATCTTTTTAAATGATTTTTAAGGTTGATGTGTTCCCTCTCTAAGACTCAATAGGCAGTCTACATATTGATCTCTATTATTTAACCTTAACTTGAATTAATTTTGACCTTTTTCTTGTCTAATACTGTGGGTATGATCGTGGAAAACAGAACTGCCCCTGGTCCAGTTGTGGGTTGGCCTCCGATTCGTTCTTTCAGGAAAAATCTTGCAAGCAGCAGCTCTTCGAAACTAGCTTCTGAATCACCAAGTGTGGTCGCTCACAAGGTTGCTAATGAAAAAGCAGCAGCTGAACCTACTGGTAAAGGCCTATTTGTGAAAATCAACATGGATGGAGTTCCCATCGGAAGGAAAGTGGATCTCAAAGCCTATGACAGCTATGAAAAACTGTCAACTGCTGTTGATGAACTCTTCAGAGGCCTCCTTGCAGGTAGATTTATGGTACTATTAGTTACAATTGAATTAATATATAACTGGGGTAAAGCAATAAAATTGTAATTAAGCCTTGGCAATTATTCTGACATGGTTTAGCTAAATTTGATTTGATAGTCGTGTCCATAAGGGAAGTTTGTTTCATTCATAGATTAATATGTATTTACGTCATCAACACGTCGTGTGTTTGACAGCCCCGCCATTTGTTCAGTGTATTAGAAATTTGTGTATTGCATCTGTTTATTATATGACCAATCAGTTCACATCAGTGTTAGTTTTCAACTGTTTAGGTGTTGGAAGTGGGGGAGGGAAGGATTAGTGAGTAAATGTTATTTCAAATTGCGAATTTCAAGGGTCAAGTTTTGGATTCATTTGCTTGTTGTTATTGCAATTAAACTCCTAGCTTATGTTAATATGATCCTAATTGACAGATGGTTTTATCTCATCTGTTTGTCTTTTGCTTCTCTATGTAGCTCAAAGAGATTCCTGTGCTGGTGGAATAGTGAACAAGCAGGAGGAAGAGAAAGTGATTACAGGCGTATTGGACGGAAGTGGGGAATATACACTAGTTTATGAGGATAACGAAGGAGACAGGATGCTTGTTGGGGATGTCCCATGGCAGTAAGCATCTTATCACTGTGGATCTGATGCAATTTGAGATAATACTATACCATATTTTATTCCCACGGCTACTGGTTGAGCCTGTAGCTGAATACCCTTTTCTTGTATTTTTGTCCTTTAGTATTTTTTTTTCCCTGAAAAACAGCATTAGATTCCTAATATCTTTGACTATAATTCGATTTTTCTATAATGTTGGACATATTCTTTGTTTATGTATGTATCACCAAAATACGACAGAAACTAGTTTGTTTATTTATTTGTAATCTTGATTTGGATTTGGATTTGGATTTGCAGCATGTTTGTATCAACAGTGAAGAGGCTGCGCGTGTTGAAGAGCTCCGAACTATCTGCGCTTAGCCGTGAGTGTCTGGTTTATTGTGACAAACTAATGATTAATGGTTATTAATTACTAGTTCTGTTTGTTTTTCATGTTCTAATTAGAAATTGGTGGTGCATCTGTTACAGTCGGAAGCAGTAAGCAGGGAAAGATGCCCGCTTGACTTTGCGTCTGAAAACATGAGAGTTTTCAGCTGAAGATTCTCCAACCAAAGTTTGAAGAAAAGAACTTGGAATTATGTTCACGTTTTGACATTTTGGTCCCCTCCTTTTGCATGGAACTTGTTGCACTCACAGTATATATATCTATCTATCTATATATATAAGTAGTTTTATGTGTAATTTTTGACATCTTTCCCTTTGTTTAACATGCTCCTTTCTACATTATTGTCATTTAGAACGATGCTTAAATAGCGATATCTTGAGTTTGATGTGTAACCTTTGTGCTTTCTGCTTTGAATCGACACCCGTTTGGGAATTGTGAGAGACCCAAGTTAATGAAACCCTTTTTGGCATAAAAGGAGTGAAATAAATAAGCTTAATCAAGAATGAAACATGGTTGGGTTCTAAAGCAGATGCGCTTTTCTCTTTTTGCTTGATTCCATTGAACATCGAAGCCTCAGGGCAACCAAGTAGTACTCTATTCAAATTGCCCTTTTGGGCTTTGGGTAAGGAGAAAGTAGAGGAAATTCTACCCTTTTTGCTCAAAAGGACAGACCAAGAGCTCATCCTATCCCTTTTGGTCCCGTGGAGGCATGAGTTACTTCCCACTGATTTTGACCATTCATTCATCACCCAACCATTTTTGTTTAACGCTTGTCAACCAGACATGGTTGGATTGTTTGGTTTGGATGACTTTGAAATTTTAGAAAAGGGGCAAAAAAAAAAAGAGAAAAGGGGACAACGAGGTTTTGGGTAGGATGGAAGGGTCATTATCATTGGGAGCTGCCTAACTTTGGGGTTGGGCCCAAAACTTAGACCGTTCTAATTCCTTGGAGACGTGTCACGTGTGGGATGTGAGACAGTGTCAAAGACACGTGCGCAGTTGCCGGCACTTATCAGGGCTTTCACCCTAGTTTAGCCTTACCTTCCAGAGTTTGGTGAAGGGAAACACGTGTGCTTGTTGACCAAAAGGAAGGACATGTCTTGTAAGCTTAGCCCTCTGACTCTCTTACACACCTGCATTACTGCCAGCTATTATATAAATATATTTGTCACTCTAATACTTGTACCCATCGATACGCTTAATACTTTAAGAAGGTTTCTTTTATTTATTTTTATAATAATTAATACTTTATTTATTTATTTACATCTTTTCCTGTTGTGTGTTTGACAAATCATTCGAGTTAGTTTCATTTTCATTTAGTTGAATACTTTCTAACCCTTGCAAAACGTCAAATAACTCTACCACGATTGTACTAATGACATATGCAGCCAGTTGTAAACATGTTGAAAGCTTAGATCAGTTGGGGACAAACATTACGTAATAGATTGCTTTAGTAATAATTTAGACTTGAAACAAAATCAGAAGAATTGTTACGTAATTCTTTAATATTAATACGTTTAAGGAATGAATATATATAAAATTTATCTGACATGAAAAACATTACAAAAAAGATTGATTTAGCTAGGTTCTGCTGAATTGATGCTTTCAGTTTTTATTTTTTTAATAAACAAAATTAATAAAAAGCAAAAAAAAAACTAAAATGAATAAAAATATCAAACAGAAATTTAATCATTTAAAACAAAAGCAACAATTAAAGAAAAACCCTGGGTGGTTGCAAATAATGACAGAAATAGAAGCAAATGAAAACGAAATTAAAACTATGTGCTGGTGATCCTTTAATATGGACAAGGCTTAACTAAGTGAGTGAATCATAGATTTTCATTTTTAATGACAATGGAAATTAATTAAGCATGAGATTAAAGATTTTCTTAAACTCTGATTGGTTGATATTTTTTCTTTTTGTTTTGTGAAAAAGAATGAATAAAATAAAAAATAAATAAATAATCATAACTAACAAAACTATCTATCCAACGGAGCTTTTGTAATTCAAAGCAAAACACCAAGTAAAGAAAAACAAAAATCCTTAGTTGTTGCAAACAATAGTCACAAATGATGAAAACCAAAAATAATTAAAAAAAAAAGGGAAAATTTGACAATTTTTTAATACCAAGACATTATGAGGGAATCAATCACATATTTTAAACAAAGATTTTGCATGCTGAAAATGGAAATTAATCACAAAATTAATTATATTGAAAATTGTATACCTTGTAATTCAAAGCAAAACTAGAGGTATGTTTGTTTTGATGTATTTTCGGAAAATGTTTTTAAGATTTATACTTATTTGGAAGATGAAAATTTTATTTTAAATATAAATCATTTTACAAGTCAATGGAAAAAACAACTATTGACCACAAAACCTGTTTTACGCCTTTGAGAGGTGTAAGACATTTTTCGGAGAATAAAAAAAAGCTCTTATACTAAACCTAGGAATATAAGTTTGATGAATAATATTTAATTTAAAATATTAAAAAATAAAAATATATTAATATTTAACTTAATTTTTTAATTTAAAATATTAATATTTAAATTACTCAATACTATTATAAGAAAGAAAATATTTTTTAATAAAACAATTCAATGCAATTAAATTTTTTTACTATAAATTGAATAAATCTTACTAATAATTATAATAAAAAATATTTCAATAATCCTCATTTGATAAATACACATAAGAATAGGTTTTGGATGTCTTATACAATTGATAAATATTGATATTTTTTTATAGTGTTATAGTAAAAAAGTAATGAGATATAAAAATTTTTAAAAATTAGAACTTACTTTAATTATAAATGTGGCTAAATGTTTTAAAAAATATTGTTATTGATTTTGTCCATTTTCATATATATTCTTAATTTTGATATCAAATTAGTGATGATGGAAAATATTTTTCACAAAATAATTTAAATGATAGAAAATGTTTTCGACATTTATCAAAACAAAAAAAAATATTAAATTTCTCTATAAAATATTTTACACTGAAAAACTTTTCTCTCAACAAATTATTTTTCAGTTACCAAACAGCCCTTAGAACTAGTTATTGAAACTAAAATAAAGTTTTAGGCATGTCCAA